GCCCCTCTCCTATGGGGACAGGCTGGGAGAGTTGGGGTTGTTCAGCCTGGAGAAGAGAAGGCTGCGGGCAGACCTGATTGCGGCCTTGCAGGGCTTAAAGGGAGCCCATAGGAAAGATGGGGACAATCTTTTTAGCTGGGCCTGTTGTGACAGGACAAGGGGTGATGGTTTCAAACTAAACCAGGGTAGGTTTAGACTGGGTATAAGGAAGGAATTCTTTCCAATGAGGGTGGTGAGACACTGGCATGGGTTGCCCAGAGAGGTGGTGGAGGCCCCATCCCTGGAACATTCCAGGCCAGGTTGGACGGGGCTGTGAGCAGCCCAATCTGGTTGAAGGTGTCCCTGCTCCCTGCAGGGGGGTTGGACTGGGTGACCTCTAAAGGTCCACTCCAACTGAAAGCAATCTATGATTCTACAACCCCGACCACACCACCCTTAAGGCACAGCCAAGGGCTGAGGAGCTCAAGTCCTACGCCCATTGCTCTGCTCCATGGTGTAGACCTGTCCGCTGTCCCCATTTCACAGGATGCTCCCGCCCTGCAGTGGGAGGCTGCTGGGAAATGTCCTACAGGAGGGTGACCAGGGAGGAGGGGTGTGTGCGGGCAGCTCCTTCCGAGCAGCGTGGTCCCAGCTGTGCTCTATCCCCTGTCTCTGATGGGAACCCACCTGCAGTCCAGCCAGGAGCTTTCTCACCCTTGTGGGCAGCCTCCTACAGGCTGAACTCACGTCCCAGACTCTTGCCACATATGGGTAGAGCAGCCCAGCATTGCTACCTCCTCCGTTCAAGTACACATGTGAGGATTCACCTCTTCCATCTGGGATGGCTTCTGCTCATGAGGTTCTGGGATAAGAAGGGAGGAGCAGCGATGCTGATGCCTGTTTCAAGTCCTTGTGCTCAGCCACTGGGAAACAGCTGGCTGGTAACCTCAGCCAAATACTTCTGCCACCAGTGATCAAAGATATTCTGGGTTATTCACCCACCCACCCCAGCCAGGAGTGGCAGTCCCCCTCCCCCAGACCCACCCCTGTGCTCCTAGGGGTGCTGAGATTCGTCCTTGGCTAATGAAAGCTGCAGTAATCTCCTATCTTTTTTTATTGGAGCATCTGTAAAATTATCAGCCTTGTGGATTTAGCCTGGTCCCAGAAGCAACACTTAGAGCAATGCAGCTTTTTCCTGACAGGCCTAGAGCAGCACTGAAGTACAGCTGAACCCCAGGGAGTGGCTGCCTACAAGCACACACCGGCTGTACCATCCGCACTTCATGTGTGTCGTTACCTACGTGCCCGCTGTCACTTGCAGGGAGATCCTACCTGTCCCTGGAGCAGGGCCCCAGCTGCTCGGGTGCAGCGAAATATCCTGGGCAAGAAGAGCTCAGGGGTGGCAGAGCAGCAGGATGCTGGGGATGAGGGACCTTAGCATCCTGGGCCTCTAGCAACCACAGTGCGGTCCCCTAGCAACCGCATCCTGGTCCTGTAGCAACTGCAGTCCAGTCCCCTAGCAACCCCCTTCAGGCCCATAGAAACAAGGCTAAGGGAGGGTTTCTGCACAAAAATTTGCAGCAGAGGCATTGAGCAAGAGCTGAGGGAGGGCAGCGCATCTGACCCCACACCTGGTCCAACCCCGTGTATTTGTTGGTCTGTCCTGAGCGGGCACTGGTTCCTGGGAGCATCCTGACAGCTTAGAATGGGGAATGTCCAAGGATTCAGCAGGCTGGCAGTGGCTGAATGTAGCCTCTGTAGCTAGGGCAAGAGGGAGATAATCTCCAAGTAGTCCTCATGAGTTTCTACGGGAGCAACAGCGGAAAGCTACTCTTCAAACCAGCCATGCTAATCCAAACCACTCGTATTTCCACTGTTGAACCTTCTCTGCCAGCAGCCTCGGAAACATGCCTGACTCTGAAGATGATTTCCCAAGCAGTTTTACATGATGGTAGAGGACCAGTGAATGCAGAGTGTTTTGCCTTATGCCTTAATGCTTTCCTGACCTGTCATGCTCAGCACCGGCCTGGGCCCTGTTTGGGATCCCCAAGCCACATGCGCCATTTCTGACAGCTCCGGCGCCCAGACCTCCACTGCCCGGACAACCCTGCTCCCAGCGCTGGTGTTCCTTGGCGGAGCTTTCCCTTCTCTCTGCATAGGGAAAGTCCCAGGGCTGCAGGAAGGCAAAATCTCAGAGGGGAGATGTGTCCTGTGGAGATTCAAAGGAAGCGCAATTTGCCCCTGATGTTTGTGATTTTTAATGTTTTCTTCTCGCCTGGCTTTGCTGTAGCTGCTGCCCCCCCCCGCCCCCCCCAACCTGGGCTGCGTGCACATCACAGGAGAGCCAGATTAACCCATAGGCAATGAATGTGCTGCTGCATGACACTGATAATGAGCTCGGTGCTGTTCCTCTGAGCCAGAGTGGGGGGAGCTGGCCTGGGAGCTCAGCGATCCCCATAAAACAGGCTGGGGGCTGCTGTGGGAGGTGCTGGCTTGCAGGTGGGGTGCGAACTGGCATGGCATCCTTGTGCAAATCAGTGTGACAGTCTTGTGCAAACCAACATGACATCGGGGGGACATCTGTGTGTAAACCAGTGGAGGGGGGAGGCAGAGCTGGTGGTCAGAGCCAGGGATTGAGGTTGCTGGGCTCTTGTACTGTCCATCCCTGGGATTGCCACTCCACTCTCCTAAAATATGAATTACAGCCCCTTTTTCCCGCATTTTGCTGTGAACCTCTTGCCTCTTGCCCTGAGCAAATGACATCCCCTTTCCCTGCCTCAGTTTCCCCAAGTGGGTTATAGAGGTGATGCTCAGTGCTCTAGAGGGTGAGGAAGCCAAACTGGCCTGCTGGGTACCATGGGGGCTTTTTCCCCCAGTGACTTGGGAAGGATGGGGGGATCTTCATCCAGCCTGTGGTGGAAAGGGACCAGCTACAGGAACTTCACCTCCACGACTCCTTAGGAGGCCCCTCTGTGCTATATGGGCCCAGTGTTTGGTCCTGGCCCATTCTGGAGGACAGGCTCAGGTCTCTGAGTGTCTGTCCATGTGCTGGAGATGCCTGAAGCTTACGTGGTTCTGGAAAAAGAAAAGTATATTCCTGCCATTCCCTCCAGCAGTTTTAGCCCCCATGGCCTCCTGCTGTTAAGCAGAGAGGAAGACCCCTGGGACTTTCTCAGCAGTGCAGAACCCGCCACAACATCGGTGTGAGCAGGGTGTGCTGCAAAGCCAGCGCAAGCGGGCGAAATGATGCTTGTTTCCACAGCTCAGAGAGCTGCAAGCTCAGATGTGGTGGCCTGCTGGCCTCCGAGGTCTTCTTCCATGCAGACACTTCATGCATATTGCATGGGTGTTTGGAGCTGTGCTCAGCAAGTCGAGCCGGCTCTGATGCTAATGCAGCAATGAGCAGACCTGTTCCAGTGCCCAGCCTCACACAAAGCAAAAATAAAGGCAAAACACAGCAAAAATAAAGGCAAAACACAGCTGCGGGCAGCTCAACGCCCTTGCGTATGTCAGTGACTCTCCCTGGGCCTGTTGGGCTCTCTCCTCTTGCAGCACCCAGCAGGGTAGCAAGAAGCCTGCAAATGAGTTTAAAACTGCATGTGTGTAGTGGTTACGCTGGTCTGGTGTCTGCAGAGGGGGTCCCTGTGACAGCCCTGTGCTCCCTGTTGTCCTCACCATGTGTTTAACGTCTCCTGCTGGCTAATGTGGCTCCTGTTTTGTTTGTAGAGGACGAGATTGTTTCCATGGCTGACTCGACCACCACCATCGATGACATTGAAGGGGAGCTCTTCAAAATCGAGAGGATCAGGGAGATCCTGGTGAGGAGGGAGTCAGAGCTGCGGTACATGTGAGTACCTGCCTCGTCCTGCACTGCCCCCGTGTTTTCTGCCTGCCCCGATCAAACACGGATCTTCCATGGGGATGAGCAGGGCTGAGGCGCTTTCCACCTTGTTTTCCACCTGGGAGTGCAGCCTCTCCCACTGCTCTGGCCTTGCTCTCGGACAGGGCTCGAACAGGTCCCTGTTACAAAGCTGCCACTGATGCTGTGATGATTTGAGCTGAGTTTATGGCAGAGGTTTAACTACGCTACCACATTTCCATATTCACCCAGAAGCACCCCATCTTCCAGTGGGTCCATGCTCTTCCTCAGTGCCTGGCTCTTGGTCTGGCCTTAGGAATAGACCTGAGGTTTGGTGGCTCATTGCTGCTCTCTGGAGACAGTGCTTTGCCCCCAGCATGGGGATCTCTGGCTGCTGAACAGCCATACGACCATGGCTTGCCCTCTCCACATTGCAGTATTACACCACCCCCAGCTCCTCCTTCGCTCACCCATCCCCTGGGGACATCAGGACACATCGGGGCCGGACCAGCATTGGTGCTCGATGCCTGTTTCTGCACCGCATCCTCCTCCCCACGCAGCCTTTGCAGCCAGATGCAGAGGGAAAGATCTTCAGGGTCCATTTCAATCATCAAAGCTGGTTTTGAGTAAAAATCCGGAGGCCTTTCACATTGAAGGCAATGACATAGTCACTGTGTTGCGGTGGTACTAACCAGCTTTCGGGGTGATAAAGAACATTTTCCCTGGGTATATATTTGGGGAAAAGGACTGGTGAGCATTCATAGTCTGGGTTGATGAAGCTTTTTATTACCACTAAATTGCTGTAGTCAGCCCAGTCCTGAGATCCCACACTGTCAGGTCAAAACAAAGTCTGGGATCTTTTACTGGTAGTGGCAAAAATCATATTTACTGGGCTGCAGCATTTGATAAGCTGCTTTTTTAGTGTATCTGAGTCCTACTGGTACCTGGGCTACCGGGATCCCCAAAGCCTGGAAATGCCTGTGTAAATCCACTGCCTGGGGAAGAAGCTGTGAGCTGGCCTGGTTTAGAGGCTCAGATTTGGAGTGATGACCTCTTTGAGGTACAATTCCCCCTGAATATATTGTTGAAAAGGATTTTTGGAAATCTTAAGAAGTGTAGTTCTTAAATGCTTTCTGTGGCAACTGGTACCTGCCTCTCACAGGTGCTGTCAAAGCTCACATCTCTTGCTCTTTATTATCCCTTTATTTGTTTTCTTCCTTGGACTTGAAAAACAAAAGGAAATCACCTGCCGAAGGCACATACTGGGGTGGGTATGGATGCAAAAGCAATCACTTGGAAGTTTGGCAATGCCAGGGTGATATGTCTGAGTGGTTTGGAGGTGCTGCAGGGGACTCGAGCGTCAGCTCTGGGGAGTGCAGCAGTGGGGAGGAGCTCAGCTCTGCAAGGCAGGGAAAGTCAAGGGCTTCCCTGAGCATCGCTGCTGGGGAAGAGGGATCTCCAGACCGGGGTTCAGTAGGACAGGGTCAAAAAGGTTGGGGACCTGGGGCTGAGGTGAGCCCATCCTGATTGGTGTGTGGTTTGAGCCAGAGATGATTTCATGGCCCGTGGCTTCAGCAGGCTCTTGTTCTCCTGTCGAAATGACCTTGTTTCTCAGTAGACACCTGCAACGTTTGCACATTTTCCCCCTCTGTTGTTTCATTTTTCTACCTTTTTTTAATTCTGCAAAAAGGCAGTATAAAAATGTCAGCTCTTTTTATGTGGCAGCAGCTTCCATTTGGTTTTGGACTTTGCTGTTTAGGGATTATTTTTTGAGAAAAGGACCAATACAGCTGCTGTTGCATCATGGATGTGCCAGGTTTTAATGAGGTTTCATTGTCGTTAAAGTGATGAACCTTTTCCTTTGCCAACAACCAGTGACACAACCCGTGTAGCTCCAACCAGAGCTCTGAGATGAACGCAGGTAAATCTGTGCTCTCCGCCACAGGCACCAGGTGCGTTGCCTTCCAGTGTTGGCTGGGTGTTGCTCTGGAGATGTTGAACCTTTCCTCTCCCGGTCTTTCCCTCAGTGGTTTCATTTGTGTCTCTGCAGGATGGATGACATTCAGCTTTGTCAAGAAATCAGCCGGCTGAAAAAGGAGCTTCAAAAACTCATAGCCCTTCCAGGTAAGGCTTTGTAAAGCTTCAGAGCGCTGCACCCTGCCGCTGCAATCAGCAGAAAGGTTTCTGTGAAATGCAAGAAGCTCTTGAAGAGCTCCCACCCAGGGCTGCTCATGGAGATGATGCTGCTGCAGGAAATGCGTGAGCATCAAGAAATGTGGCTCCTTGGGCGTGACCTGAGATCTTTCCTGAGAGCTTTGCTGCAGTCCCACCAGGGGCTCCTTGTTCTGGGCTGAAGGGCAGAGGAAACACAAAAGGAGAAAGAATGTGAGTGCTTTGAGGAAGAGTGTGGGTCTGGTGCAGGAGGAGGACAGGAGCTGAGTGAGGTGGCTGTGTCAGAAATGTGTGTCCATGATGGGACAGATGGTAGCAGCAGCCTGGGAAGGGTTCCTGGTTGCAGCCAGGGTAGGATGAATGCTGGGGGTTAGGATGTGATGCCAAAGGGGGTCAGTGATGTCCCTCATTTAGGTGAATTCATCATTCAGGGTGTTGAAAACAGGCCAACAGTCCAGGGCAACATATATGAAAACTTCACCTGGGAGGAAATGCTGCTTTTGTGTGTCCCCCTTAACCATGACTGGTGACCCTCCATGTCCCTGTCGCAGCCAGAGCCACCCTTCACAGCCCAGGAAAGGCCAAACCTTGGTTCACTAAAGGACCCCCCTCAGCCAAAATATTCAAATGAAAGCACATGCCAAAGAGCTCAGGGTTTGAAGAAAGGCTTCCCCATAAGCCATGTCCATCACTGTCCATAAGGCTCTGCCTCCTCCCAGGACAGCTTCATTCAGCCCCAGGTAGGACTTGATCTGTGTTTTCAGAACCAGGTGGGAGGCGTCTCCCTGCTTATTTGTACCCATCCAAGCATCAAGGTCTGGACCACCCTAAGGATCTCTCTGAAGATGTTGCACTCTCAGAGACCAACGAGTGCATAGCAGGGGCAATGCCTGGATGCAGACAAGGGACCCGCTGCGCACAGCTCAGCTCAGCGTCTCTGTACCCAAGGTTATCAAAGCCAAGGGTGGCAAGAAACCTTGACCCTTTCTAATGCCATAGTCTCGCTGTGCTGTGCGTGCTTGTGAATCTTCAGCACACAGTCAGAGCCCAACTGCTGCTTCATGTGCAGGGCTTGATCAGTTTAATACAACCTGGCTGCATCCAGAGGGAGGATCAGACAGGGGAGGGGAGGGGAGGATTCTGCCATAGAAATGGGAGCTGCTTGCAGAATGTAGACCCAAATCTCATGTGGGCTTTTAAATCAAACACCTTCTAGTTCATAAAACAAGACTTGACCTAAATGATGGCTCAGGACCAGATATGAACTTGGCTTTTTCTGAAGCTTGAGAAACGTGGCTGGGTTTCCTTCATCTGCTCTGGTCTTTCATTTCTAGCCTTTTCAGCATCCCCAGATTCAGCTGAGAGCAGAAACACTGCTTGCATCAGGGATGCTCTTTCTGTCTTCTTTATAACTTGGCTCAAATCAGGCTGCACTGGAAAAATCCTGCAAACCATTGGTCTTGCACAATGGTAGCAGCAGATCGTTAGCAAAAATGGGCGTTGAACTTTGGTTCGCTTAAAGGTTCAAACACGTCTCTGCTTACTCAGAGCTCAGCCAGACCTGTGGCTTGAAATCACACCAGACCAAGGTGCCTTTAATAATTCAGAGGGATATTGTGGTCATGATGGGCTCTGACATCAATGAGATGGAAACAGTACAGTGTTTGTACGGCGGGTGCATTAACTCTGAGATGCCCTAACTCAGAAATGCAGGTTGTTAATTAACTAATGCCAAATAGCTGGTGTGTTTGTGCGCAGCCTGAGGGTTCCCATTTGTACAGCATCTGAAGGACACTGGAATGTGCTCCTGTTCCCAGCAGGCAGGTTGGAGCTGCTCTACCCGGCCCATGCCCACAGCCAGGTGACTTTGCTTTAACTCTTCATGGCAGAAGAGTTCCAGCAGCGGTGGCCCAGACTGCAGTCCAGATCAGTTTCCTCTGCCAGAAGCCTTGAGCTCACTCTCTGCACAAGACCACAACCATAGGAGAAACCTGTTTGCTGGGGATGTTTCTAACAACATGATTATGAGAAGTTCATCCCACTCTGACTCCCCCAATCAATACATAACAGACTTTGAACTACAAATCAATACATAGCTTAGGTAACTGCTGAGACCCAGCCTACAGGGTTTGCTCCATACTGCGAATTTTGATGCATTTTTATTTAGCTGAAGGAAGGCTGGAGATTGATCCATCCTCTGCTGGATTGATTTGGAGCCGGCTGCTGAATTCAGAAATGGTATTAAATAGCTGCAGCACAGACAGTTGTAGTTGCCACCTAAGGTAGCTGTCCATTGATATTTAACGCTCCTTAGCCCTCTCTCTATCATCTTCACGTGTCCCACTTACCATTACATACCAATTTATATAGGACATGACTTGATAGCGATTTGAGAGTTTTCATGTCTTCACTAACTTGCTGCCCGAAGACAAGTGGCACAAGTGGGTTCCCCCATGCTCAAGGTCGGTCAGTCTGGGGATTCAGGTGGCAACCAAGGCTAACACATTCAATACAGCCTGGCAGACACCGTGGTCATCCTTGTCGCTGGGTTGGGAATGGGGCTGACAATTGCTTGAAAGCTGAGATGTAGAGGATGAGATCACGGGGACCGTGTTTAGCAAGTGAATAAGGCTATGAAGGACAGTGGAGCATACTGGTTTTCATGTCTCTGTATATATGGGATAAATGGTGGCATGAGGTGCTCCCAAGGCATCTGGGCATTGCTGATAATTCTCTATGCACCTGAATCCCTGGTGGTTTCTCAGCCACATGGAGGACCTGGCTCAGAGGTCTCTGGACCCCTGCCCAGCTCAGAGCCAAGCTGAGACTGATTGGGTGTGCTGGCATGGGAAAAGCGGGTTAAGCACATCTGAGCTGAAGGATGATGCCCAAGTCTGACATTTCCGAGCTTTTTGAGGCTCAGTACCCAGCCTCTCCAGCAGTGCAGGGTGAAGACCCCAGGCGAGCCATGGTCACCTTCCACCAGAGAAGTCAGCTTGTTGAGGTGGCCTTCCTCTGCTCTGCGAAGCTCACAGTTGCATCTTGCAGTTCTCAGCCGCATGAAAATTTTGGGAAGAAGCTAAAAATTCAAAATTTGATGACACCAGACGTGTCTCCTCCCAGCCAGGGTGGTTTGGGATGAGGTTGTTGCTTATTTAGCAGCCTGTGTCTGGATGTCGGTGCTTACTTTGGGTTGGCTTTTACCCCCACTCTCGCATCTGCTCCCAGGTTGAGCAGAAGCAGAGCAAGGCTGGGCTGGCATAGGCAGGATGGTCCAGAAACACTGCTTGCATCAGGGATGCTCTTTCTGTCTTCTTTATAACTTGGCTCAAATCAGGCTGCACTGGAAAAATCCTGCAAACCATTGGTCTTGCACAATGGTAGCAGCAGATCGTTAGCAAAAATGGGCGTTGAACTTTGGTTCGCTTAAAGGTTCAAACACGTCTCTGCTTACTCAGAGCTCAGCCAGACCTGTGGCTTGAAATCACACCAGACCAAGGTGCCTTTAATAATTCAGAGGGATATTGTGGTCATGATGGGCTCTGACATCAATGAGATGGAAACAGTACAGTGTTTGTACGGCGGGTGCATTAACTCTGAGATGCCCTAACTCAGAAATGCAGGTTGTTAATTAACTAATGCCAAATAGCTGGTGTGTTTGTGCGCAGCCTGAGGGTTCCCATTTGTACAGCATCTGAAGGACACTGGAATGTGCTCCTGTTCCCAGCAGGCAGGTTGGAGCTGCTCTACCCGGCCCATGCCCACAGCCAGGTGACTTTGCTTTAACTCTTCATGGCAGAAGAGTTCCAGCAGCGGTGGCCCAGACTGCAGTCCAGATCAGTTTCCTCTGCCAGAAGCCTTGAGCTCACTCTCTGCACAAGACCACAACCATAGGAGAAACCTGTTTGCTGGGGATGTTTCTAACATGATTATGAGAAGTTCATCCCACTCTGACCCCCCCAATCAATACATAACAGACTTTGAACTACAAATCAATACATAGCTTAGGTAACTGCTGAGACCCAGCCTACAGGGTTTGCTCCATACTGCGAATTTTGATGCATTTTTATTTAGCTGAAGGAAGGCTGGAGATTGATCCATCCTCTGCTGGATTGATTTGGAGCCGGCTGCTGAATTCAGAAATGGTATTAAATAGCTGCAGCACAGACAGTTGTAGTTGCCACCTAAGGTAGCTGTCCATTGATATTTAACGCTCCTTAGCCCTCTCTCTATCATCTTCACATGTCCCACTTACCATTACATACCAATTTATATAGGACATGACTTGATAGCGATTTGAGAGTTTTCATGTCTTCACTAACTTGCTGCCCGAAGACAAGTGGCACAAGTGGGTTCCCCCATGCTCAAGGTCGGTCAGTCTGGGGATTCAGGTGGCAACCAAGGCTAACACATTCAATACAGCCTGGCAGACACCGTGGTCATCCTTGTCGCTGGGTTGGGAATGGGGCTGACAATTGCTTGAAAGCTGAGATGTAGAGGATGAGATCACGGGGACCGTGTTTAGCAAGTGAATAAGGCTATGAAGGACAGTGGAGCATACTGGTTTTCATGTCTCTGTATATATGGGATAAATGGTGGCATGAGGTGCTCCCAAGGCATCTGGGCATTGCTGATAATTCTCTATGCACCTGAATCCCTGGTGGTTTCTCAGCCACATGGAGGACCTGGCTCAGAGGTCTCTGGACCCCTGCCCAGCTCAGAGCCAAGCTGAGACTGATTGGGTGTGCTGGCATGGGAAAAGCGGGTTAAGCACATCTGAGCTGAAGGATGATGCCCAAGTCTGACATTTCCGAGCTTTTTGAGGCTCAGTACCCAGCCTCTCCAGCAGTGCAGGGTGAAGACCCCAGGCGAGCCATGGTCACCTTCCACCAGAGAAGTCAGCTTGTTGAGGTGGCCTTCCTCTGCTCTGCGAAGCTCACAGTTGCATCTTGCAGTTCTCAGCCGCATGAAAATTTTGGGAAGAAGCTAAAAATTCAAAATTTGATGACACCAGACGTGTCTCCTCCCAGCCAGGGTGGTTTGGGATGAGGTTGTTGCTTATTTAGCAGCCTGTGTCTGGATGTCGGTGCTTACTTTGGGTTGGCTTTTACCCCCACTCTCGCATCTGCTCCCAGGTTGAGCAGAAGCAGAGCAAGGCTGGGCTGGCATAGGCAGGATGGTCCCTGTTAGTGTGTTAAATGTGTTCCCTGTGCTGCAGAGAATGAAAAGTCCAATGAGGAGAAGCAGAGGGAAGAAGAGCTGGTACAGCAGATACACAAACTGGTGGAAACACGGGATTTCCTGGTGGACGATGTGGAGTTTGAGAGGCTCAGGTAGTTGGGTGCAATTTATTCCTTTGCACTGAGGACAGTGCCAGACAGTCCTGAATGCCTTGCTGCTCCTTTCCTGAGTGCTAACCAATCTCTTTGCCACAGGGAAAGGGAAGAAGACAAGGAAATGGCAGAGTTCCTGCAAAGTAAGCTCTCCAAAAGCTACCTCCAGAAAGCAAGTAGGTGGTTGATTAGTTTTATTCCTTGCATTGAACCTCCCTGGCAGTTTCTCCTGTTCCCTAAGCACTCTGTCCCCAGGATTTCATTGCTCTGCATGGGGCTAGCTTACCTGGAGGCCATCTGTTGCTGGAGGAGGGTGTGGGGAAATGGCAACTGGAGGATGCTGGTGCTTGAGATCCCACTGTGGAAACATTCTGAATCGGTACAGATGTTATACTCCATTTTTCTCCTGGAATTTCCCAGCCAGCATGTCCTATGAGAATGGGCAGGTGTCCTTTTATGGGTGATGTGCTTCATCTGACCCTTTCCAACCAGCCCCTTACTTTTCATCACACCATTAGCTAAGATCACAAGTCATAGTATCCATCCTGTCCTCCTTTCTTCATGGCCTCTGATGGCTACCCTCTTCCCTGTGCCTCCATCGTTGCTGGAGGAACATCTCCCCAGCGTGGTGGAACGCATTTCCAGCTCAGGGTCCCTGTGCCTGTAGCACACATGGTGACGTGTCCTCAGGGATGCAGGAGCTCATGCCCAGCTGTGGGTCTGGAGCGGGTCAGCATCTTAGCCCCAAAAGGCGCTCTAAGAAGAAGCGATGGGCCTGCGCTCTTGGTACCAGGCAGATACCTATTCCTCTTCCGTAGCTCCTGTCAAAGAGAAGAAAATGACTTCCAGAGGCCAGCAAACCTCTGCACCATACATGACCAAAACGGGCCTCACCCTGCTCAAGGAGTGCTGTGGCTTCACCTGCTCCATCATGTAGGCCAGCCCCCAGCTCCTCTGCACAGGACATGACCATGGTACTGTACACGTCCCAGGAAGCTGGGCCAGGCAGGAGGGGCTTCCTTGGCATGCTGAAACAGCCACGTGCCTGTGAGGGTGGGCGAGCACTGGTGGCTGGGACATGCACAGCTCCTGGTGCTGCAGGTGTGGGGTGCGAGGGACCACCAGGCTGCAGCACTGCTCTGGGGGGCTGCCATCGGGGAAAAGCACTGGAGCCCCACTGGGTCCTGAGAGAGGGTCTGGAAGGGGAGCAGTGGTGGTTGTGGCTGGGAGGAAGACAAGGGGATGGAGGGAGTTGAGTGGAGGGGGAAGAAAGATGGAGAGTGAGGAGGAGCGGGACCAGGGGCACTGCAGGTACCCATCTCCATGTAAGCTCATACGGGAGGGAGTTGCCTGTCAAATGTGCCACTGCTGTGCACAGCTGGTGCTCATGGAGTCACACCACCAATGCCTTTGTCTTCTCGCAGCATCTTCTCTGAAAACCTACGAAGCCATCAGGCCTTTCTGTCATTGAGTGTCACAGAATCCCCAAATGGCAGGGGTTGGAAAGGCCCTCCAGAGATCACGCAGTCCAGCCCCCCTGCTCAAGCAGGGTCACCCAGTGCAGGTTGCACAGGACATCATCCAGGCGGGTCCTCACGTGCCTTCTTGCTGACTCTCCTGCCTGCTCCTTTTCATCAGGTTGCAGTTAAATTACTGGCATCTGCTGACAGCCACCGGTGCCCAACCATGAAGCGATGTGCCCATTATTTTTAAAACAGAGTTTACTAAGGGCCAGGCTGTGTCAGTTGTGCAGGACTATCCTCTGGCTGCCAAGGAGCAACCAGACACATCCCTGTCCATTTGCCAGTGGTTCAGGACATAAACCCATTCCAAACATTGCCACTTTGTAGAGGCCTTGGGGGCTGGCAGACCCATAGAGGGGTGCTTCTTGCCAGTGCAGCCTGATGTGGACTTCCCCAAAGTCTGTGGGGTGCGGACAAGTCAAGCAAGGCCTAAAAAGCTTGGTGTGGGATGGAGCAGAGGCTGAACTGGTGATAGCTGGTGAGCTGAGCTCACTCCTGACAGTGTGTGGTGAGGACACAGGTGAAGCAAGTCACATCTAAGATGAAGTTATGTCTATAAGGATGTGCTTTAATACAGTTGAAGTGAAATTCTGGGCTCCAGCACCACAAATCTGAGTCCAGACCTCACAGCTCATCACAGGGCAGCTGCAAGGAGGTGAAACCACCCACCCACTGAGGTCCCACCTTCCTCCATGGGCTTCACCCAGTAGATGGTGAGCATGGCCAAAGCCAAGTGCTGAGTCCCGACTGACAGCATGTGTGACAAGCACTGTGTAAGAGGAAGACGATGGTAATGGAAGTCCAGTGGGTTGTAGTCTCTGGAGGGGGATAGCTCTCACCCTTAATAATGCTAAGGCAGGTGGCTTGACATCCAAGAGTTCGTCTCAGTGGCGTTAGGCACCCCGTAAAGCAGGGCTGGCTCTCCAGCCCCTGGAGAAGGGAGGCACCAAGGGTATCCCATGGTTGCAACCCATGGTTTCCTATCTCTTGCCTTCACAGGTCTCCAGCAAGAGTCCACGATCTGCTCTCCTCTGAGAGTTTCAACTTCCTGTCATTGTCCATACTTCCCACTGCAGCATCACCACAGAAGAGACTTCCCAGGCAGGCTGGTGCAAGCTTGAATGATGGCATGTGTCCTTGGTGCCACATCAATGGTCATCTCCTCCATGACATCAACAAACACCTAATTCCACCTGAGCTCAGCTTGGAAGAGGTGTGTGCAGCAGTGGCAAGCGATTCCATGACAAAGAGGACCAGTGCAGTGCTTCACCTGGACAGAGTAATAAAAAAAGCACTGGGAGATAATGTTTGGAGAACAGTGTGCTCCACCATCCAAGAAACGCTGTGGCCACAGATGGTGTCTGATCCTTCACCTTGCACCACCTTGTGAGTCTCTATGGGATGACTCCTGAGGACTCTTGGTGGGGAATGTCTCTGGTCTGGGTTTTGTTGTGCTTGTAGTGGTTTTATTGCAAGGTGCTCTACGGCTCTGGGTAGAGCCAAGCAAAGCGCGAAGGGGCATCCCCAGAGCCTGCTGAATGAAGGGCTAACTCTTGTGAAGTTACCACCTGAGCACAGACCTGGTGTGTTGAACTATGGGCAGATGAGGTGCTTTCCCACCTCACTGTTACTGGATTCAGTTTTCAGCTCCAAGAAAAAGGAGAAAATTAGAGCAAAAGAGAAAAGGAGAAAAATTCAGAAGAGCAGGGCAACATGCAGAAGGAAATGAAAACCAAACAGGAGTCTGGAAAAGGGGCAGGGGAAGGTGGAGACAGCGGGTGAGAGACGCTCTCACTGCCAAGAGGGCATTCAGTCCTGCCCTCCAGTGCCCTGGCCAGTGTCTCTGGGCTTGACGCCATGAGCTGGACGTAAAGTCCTGTGTAAAAGGCTCATGGCATCCTGAGGTCACCCAGTGTCTCAGTTCCTGTTGTCCCTTCTAAGCATCCACCTGTGTTGAGGAGGCACAGCCAGAGCTGCTAATGCCCATCACAGCAGGATGGGGGTTCTCTTTCTTGCTGGGTGTGAGGGCCTCTCACATCTCCTGCCCTGCACTTCTGCCCTGTAGGCTGCCATAGCTTTACTGGGTGTCCTGGGGTGGCCTCCCATTTGAGTGGCTGTCCAAGAGCTCTGGTTGCCCTCTGGCCAAAACGGTGATTCCTCCAGCTCAGTCCTGCTGCCATCTTGCTGTAAGGTCTTGAGATGGTGTTCCTGCCTGGGTCACTGTCCGCAATGCCCAGTGAGATGGTCACAAGCTATCTGGCTCTTTCCGTTGCACCTGATAGCACATTCATCCTTATAATACACAGCGCAGGTGGGATCCTTCCCAGTGCAATACCATAAGCAGGTCTAAGTTCCTCCTGCATTTCTTTTTCAGCACCACCAGAAACCCCAGGGTGTGGGAACCCGTTCTCTGACCTTTGTAAGGGGGTTTCCACTCATTTGCCCTTCCTGAGCAACCTCCTCCCCATATGGGTCTTGGCAGCAGCCAGAAAAGTCCCCAAATTAACCAGTCTCTCTACACACTCACAGACCAGGGTGCAAGGCCTGAATGGGCTGGCATGGCGCCTGGTCATCTCTAGAAAACTCAACGCCACTTTGTTTCGTATCACTTCTGAGTTGACTTCAGTGGTCCCAGCCTGAAGCGGGCTTACACTTTGTGCTGCTTATTAATGACCTACAGCATCCTACAAACGCCACCTGACAGTTCCTGGTGCTGCCCTCACTTGGGGGAGGCTTAAGTGTGGACTGGAGGGAGCACTCTGTAGATCACAGGGGCAGATTAAGCTGCAGAGAGCTCCTCACTGTTTTGCCAACCCTATGCAATGGAGTGAGGTGCAGCAGACAGGTGGAGCTGTTGTCCCAGCAGGGGTGACAGGCCACCATTGGTAGCATCCACCCTGGAGTTGATGGGACAGATTGGGCCACTCGCTCCCTGCTCTTCCAGTAGCTGCTTCGCTTGGTTGCCCTGCAGTCACACATGTTGTGCAATACTAGTGTTTGCTTTGAGCCACGCAAGCCAAAGAATTGACCTAGAAGGCCGCCCTCACGGTCCTTGCCTTCCCCAGGGTCCTCTTGGGAAGGGTGAGTAACTAGGCCAGTTTGTTTGGCTGCACTGAGAAGGAGCCAAAGGCAAGGAAGAGCCCTTGATTCAAAACTTGCTCCCCTAGTTCATCCTTACCTCCACCCCACAAGGCCCCAGGACCCAGACTTCAGCTGCTGAGCAGTGCTTGGGCAGGCAGGGAGGATGGGCAAGGGGAGATGGGCAAGGTCCTGGCCTGTTTCATTCTGTGTTTGCTGGCTGTGTTTGTGTGGATGGTCATGGAAAGGGAGACAGGCTGGCATCCTGGTCATACGTCACCGTTTGGCCTGTATTTTAACTGAAGGCAAAGGTGTGCAGCATGTGGGAGCAACACTGTTTCATACGCATTGATTTCAACCCAAACAAATAAATGTCTGTTGGAAGCTTGGTTCGCAGCAATTTTTCCCACCTGGGACCTTTGCAGAGAGATGTCTCAGGATGTGTCACAGCAGGGTGGCTGAAGTAGAACAGAAACAAGATCCTAAAAATTCAGGCTGGACTTCGGAGTTCTCTGATGTTGCAGGAGTACAGAGCAGCTCCTGTGGCTGCCGCAAGTGACCCAGTCCTTCCATTTCTGGCTCTTGACCTAACATTTCACATTTGGGCCAGGTTGAAAAATCCTTGGAAAGGCAAGAAACTGCCTCGCTGGGTTAATATCCTTTAATGCTCAGAGCCCTGAACTCTTTTGATATATTAGTTCATCAATAACAGCCTTCTGTCCTCACCAAGCCTCAACGGTAGCGTTTATAGAGGGGTTGTGGGACACCAAACGTCTTCTCTATGTGGTGCTTTGCTTAATGGAGCACCAAAGGGGGTCTGTCTGCACCATCTCTTCTCTTGGCCCCCTACTCTCCCCCTCCTGCATCCCACCCCCCAGGTGCTCTCAGGAGGAGGAGCAGGACTGGCAGTCCTGCAGACTGTAGGCGCTGATGGTTTTTGGTGTTTCCTGTCCTTGGGATGGGTGATTAAAGAACATGCTAAGCATCTTGTGGTGGACATGCTGGAGAGGAGATGGGCTGGGAGAGGAGATGGGCTGAGAAGGAGCAGAGAGGCAGGACAGAGTTGGTGCTTCGCTGGGTCTCATCTGTTGTGTAGGACCAGGGAAGCTTGTGATCACTCATGGGTGCCACGCGCTTTTGTGCCAGCGACTGCTGAGAGGGGACTAGGCAGCTCTGGCACGGCATCCTCTCTTAGATCAGGTGGCTGGGAACTGCAGGTATAAAACCCATGCTCTCATTCGGGTGTAATGTCTTCCATGTCTTTGCCATCTGGCACCCCAAGGGTGCTTGGCATGACAAGTCCTGGATAGGTGCTAATCATGGGGTTAACAAGGCG